AACTTCTCAGCATGATGATCTTCCTGGCTCTTTGATGATCTTCCTTCCTGTACCGTCACTTGGCAACTGCCTCTCAGGGACCACAGTCGTTTCATACATTGGACACTGTCTGATTTCTAGTTGTTTATGGCAGGAGGACAACTCCCTTAGTAGGTACTTCTTCATGAGCTGAAGAGGAGGTACCTATCATCATTTTATTAAATGAAATATATGTATTCATTGGTAAAAACACAAAGTTCAAAATAAAATTCTAAGAAACTATGAAAATAAATATGGACAAAAACTTTTGAACCAATATTCCTAAACAGAAGTGGAAATTTACTTCAAGGGAATTTCAATATTTGCCAGACTTGAAAAATTTAGATTAATCTTTCTACATTGAAAGAAATACCAAAGCAAGAGGTTGAATCTTAAAGTTGTTTGAATAGACTTTTTTTAAAAAATCTTCACCTGAGGATATTTTTTTCCCATTGATTTTTTTAAAAAAAGAGCGGAAGGGACGGAGAGAGACAGAGAGAGAGAAACTTCAATGTGAGAGACACATTAATTGGTTGCCTCCCACACGCACCCAACCAGGGGATGGGATAGAGCCTGAAACAGAGGTACATGCCCTTGACCGGAATTAAACCTCAACCCTTCTGTCCTCGGGTTGACACTCTAACCATTGAGCAACCCAGCCAGGGCTGAATAGACATTTTTGCTTCCAAGAGTCTAAAGTTGCCTAATAGCAAGAGATTTGCTATAGTCTTCATGAGGTTAGTTGAAATTCAGACATAGGAAAATTAGCATTACTCACTACTCAGATATGCAGAAATGACATTGCATCCTTGTACTTGCTAAACACTTGGATAAACTGTTTCAGAAGGGATCAGGTCCTTATTTTTTACAAAGTGACTTCAGTTTTAGATATATTTTGCTGGAACTCTGCTCTTCTATGCTACCTCCCAGAAGAGTTATTTCCTCTTGATAATGCTATAATACGTACATGATGTTCTAAGGAAGTTGTCTGCAGGAGAATAATATAGTAGAGGCTCCAATGAATAGGAGTCTGGTACTTGGGATTCTACTTGAAAAAATGGGGCTTAATACTTACTTCTGGAACCCTGCCTCTGAATGTTTTTGCTCATTTTGGATTAAAATTGGGGACTGACACATTCTGGAACTGAAAAATATTCTCAAGTTTCCTGGAAGAAACTGAGAATACATTAAAGCTATTTAACCAAAGATTTTAGTATCACCTAGACACAAATATTGCATTTGGTCTTTAAGAAATCAGAAACTGTCTGATTAAGAAGCATAGAAAGAAATATCCAGCATAAAATCTAGGTCATGTTTATGGCACAGGAGAAACAGGGAGAACTTGGAGGTGCTCCCTCTCAACAGCTGGATGAATCAATGGCAGCTGCTATAAGAAAGATAAAGAAACCCACATCTGCTTAGAGTCCACATGCTATATGAATCCCTTGTGATAGTAAATAAATTCTTGAAGAGGCCCCACTTCTAAAGCAGGAAGAGAATTGAGGACATTTAAAGACTGTTTTCCATAGTTACCTCCATGTACTATTTCACAGAAACCAGCTGTCTATATGCACCATTGTTCAATATAGAGAGTATTCAATATATATTTGCTAACTGATTAAGGGACTGGGAAGGATTGGGAAAGACAGGTTCTGTTGAAACAGTACTAGCTCCACCTATCCATTCACAGCTCCCAGTTTTGTTTATTTTGAGACCAACTGCTTAATTTTTCTGAGGTAGTTCACTTAAAATTGGGTCACATTGATTTTTGCCCACTAGTACATATATTCTGTAAAGGAGATGATGCTATTCTCAGCACACTAAGGTTGTTTGCACAAGAATGTAAATGAGATAGATTGTCTCTAGAGAGTACATGTCACAGAAGCTGCATGTGATTGGAGTAGCAGAAATAGTAGAAATAGCACATTAGCAAATTAGTAAATCTGAGTTCTGTTTCTAACTTTGCTACCAATCCACTGTGCAATTATACAAGTTACATAATTTCATTGTTTATAAAATGGGCACAAGAATACCTATTTTACTTATTTCTTAGGATAGTAGAAATGGTCTAATAAGACATAAGTAGAAGGAGTTTTAGAAAAAAAAATTCAGTAGCTAAATATAAAGTAGCAGTAGCATCCATTAGAGCAGGATGGGGGATCTTATATACTCAATGGAAGCAGGGAGTGTTCACTCTAACCCCAGTGCCAGGCACATGGTAAGTCTACCAGAAATAATTCATTGAATGAATGAGGAAATAGTTTAGGCCTTCCTCTACTTTAAGTTACAATCACTAAAGAAACTATGTTAAAAGTATTCAATAGTAATCTGAAATAACACACAATATGAAGGTGGGATACAAACAGGCCCTTAACCAGTTAACTGCCACAATATTTTGAATTTAATTTAAAAAGGCCCGCCGCTTTTGTCTATAGATGCTTATAGTGTACAAATGGTTAAAAACAGATGTGAACCAAGGTTTTGATGTAGAGATTGTAAATCAGAAAATTTTGGAGCAATTTAATGTTTCAATGTTCTGAATGTGAGAATCTAATTCCATTTTCAAAAAGAAGCTGTCAGTGTCAGTGGGTACCTTTGCCTTTCATCTCACCAAGATCTTTAAAATCTCAAAGGCATTTTCAATCAGTGTTTTCCTTAATATTTTCTATAGAATATAATCAGAATATGCCAAACCAACAGTATGCAAATACAAAAATGACTTGCACTTTCCCATGTACATAGCTCTTCTCTCCAGGATTTGTAAGATGAAATGAAAAATTTACTTTAGTCAACTTTATTCTATTTCCCAAAATCTGTATTTCTAGAAGCTGACCTATATTTCCTGTTGCTTACTGAAGTTTTTTTAACTGTGTTTCAAAGAAATATAAACTTTTAAAAAAACTTACATCACATTAGACAAAATGTGAAAGCAACCCAAATATCCATCAATGGATGAATAAACAAATAATATGAATACACATACAATGGAGTATTACTTAACCCTAAAAAGGAAGGAAATTCTGACACTTGCCACTACATGCATGAACTCTGAGGATGTTATATTAAATGAAATAAGTCATTCACAAGAGGATAAATATAATATGATTCCATTAGTATGCGATACCTCATGTAGTCCAATTCAGAGAGATAGAAAGTAGAATAGTAGCTGCCAGGGGCTGCAGGAAGGGGAAAATGGAGAGTTAGTGCTTAATGGGTAGAGAGGTTCAGTTTGGGAAGATGAAAAGGTGTGGAGATGGATGGTTGGGATGGTGTCAGAACTATATGAGTGCACTTAATGCTTCAGAACTATACACTTACCCGGAACCGTTTTCCCACTTATCTTACATGCCAAACCAAATCACCAAGTCCTGTGGATTCTATCTCTGAAAGTACACCTACCATCTCTATGGCTGCTGCCTTGGCTCTTGTGTTCTTGCACCTCACCTACTACAAGTCTGCCAACTATGCTCCTGGCTTCTAGTCTCACCCTCTAAGCCATTTTCATACTGTCTCTAGAGTGTCCTTTCTAGAACTCATATCATAACATCACTCTTCCATAATCCTTCATATAGTGCCTACATGAAATACAACTTTTTTTTTTTATGGCAAAAAATGTCTTTCAGCCAAAACCGGTTTGGCTCAGCGGATAGAGCGTCGGCCTGCGGACTGAAAGTTCCCAGGTTTGATTCCGGTCAAGGGCATGTACCTGGGTTGCGGGCACATCCCCAGTAGATGTGCAGGAGGCAGCTGGTCGATGTTTCTCTCTCATCGATGTTTCTGACTCTCTATCTCTCTCCCTTCCTCTCTGTAAAAAATCAATAAAATATATTTTTAAAAAAATGTCTTTCAGTACCTGAGTCTGTCTTTTATTCCATTTACGCTTCTACACCACAGCACATGCTCTGCCTACTAGTAGAATGCCTTTCTCTCTTTGATCCATGTGTACAACTTCTACTCACTCTTCCTTCAAACAGCCATTTCTGCGGAGACCTTCTCTGATCTTCTCTCTCCATCCTCTGACAATAGCATCCCCTCCCTCCCCCTACCCAGGAGTTTCTTGCAGTCACATCTTTCCTTGAATTTACAGCATGGCATTGTCTTGATGTTAATCCCGAGGATATTTTTCCACTGATTTTTAGAGAAAGTGGAAGGGCAGGAAGAGACACAGAAAGAACCATCAATGTGAGAGAGACACACTGGTTGGTTGCCTCCCACACACACCCGACCAGGGTCTCGATTGAGCCTGAAACCGTGGTACATGCCCTTGGCTGGAATCGAACACAGGACCTTTCAGTCCTTGGGCCGACGTTCTATGCACTAAGCCAAACTGGTTAGGGCTACTGCATGGTATTTTAATATTTGTCAAAAGCAAAGGCTCTGGAGCCAGATGGACTGGGTATGAATCCATCCCCAGCATTTACTGTTTAACCTTGCCAAGTTACTTAACCCCTCTGATCCTCAGTTTTATTAGTCATAAAATGGAGTTTACCACAGAGAGATGTTATAAAGAGTAAGTGAATTACTGCATGTAAAGTGCACAGAGCTTCACTTGGCTCCTAATACACTCATCAGTGATGGTGATGTGATGGTGGTAGTAACGGGGGTGTATTTCTGACACAAGGGGAACAGCTCCTCAAAAGTAAGGTGGGCCTATAACCTTGAATAGCATGAGTTCAAACAGTATTTTTTTAAAACATATTTTTATTGATTTTAGAAGAAGGGAGAGGGAGAGAGAGATAGAAACATCAATGATGAGAGAGAATCATTGACTGGCTGCCTCCCGTACGCCCCCTACTGGCGATTAAGCCTGCAACCTGGGCATATGCCCCTGATCCAATTCAAACCCGGGACCCTTTAGTCGGCAGACTGACGCTCTATCCACTGAGGCAAACTGGCTAGTACCCACACAGTATTTATAGGAACAAAAAAGAGATAAAAGTTTGGTAGGAAGAAAAGGGAAGAAAGAATTTGGGAAGACTTACCGCCATTTTTGCCCACAGTTCGGAAGCATCTCCAGAAGGCCCGTAGGAATGATGCCCTGTTGTGAGGGGTGGCTTGGACGAAGCTGAATTCCCGAAAGAGAATGTGAGTTCCCTGACATACACTGTTAAAGCTGCAAAGAGAACAATCAAGAAATCATCGTTAGGGACAGGAACCAAGATGGCGGCATAGGTTAACGCCAGAGATTGCTGCCTCGAACAACCAATTCAAATTACACCTAAAAGACAGAACAGACATCATCCAGAACCACAGGAAGGCTGGCTGAGTGGAAATTCTACAACTAGGAGGAAAGAGAATATCATACCCAGACTCAGAGGAGGCTAAGTGCTGAAGTGAAACACTCAGGTGCAGAGTGCATGCGGAGCGGGCTGGCGGAGGAGGGCACGGTTGTTGTTTTTAATGGGGAGGGAGCTTCAGACTCTGAGCTCCAGAGCCGGGCAAGTCTCTAGGGACCCAGACTCAAACGGGAGAAGCAGGACTGTCCGGCTTCAGCGGGACTCGAAGGCAGCTTTCTCTCCGAGGTTTGCAGCAGTTGCTGGGACTCTGTGAGGCAGAGCCCCTAGGGACAGAACTGAGAGCAGCCATAACTGCTCCCTCCACCCGCCCTGTAGATCCCCTGGGACCCGCCCCGCCCAAGCCCTGCGTAGAGCCATTTGCCGGATAGCCTCAGGCAAATGCTAGATTAGCACCACCCTAGAGATCCAGCACAGAAGCTCTTCCACTGCAGACACAGCTGACTCTCATAGCCAGTTAGCCTGGAGGTTAAATCACCCCCGACAACAATCAAGGCTTAACTACAACAAGACTGCGCACAAAGACCACTAGGGGGTGCACCAAGAAAGCATAAAAATGCGGAGACAAAGAAACATGACAGAAATGGAGGATACAGAGCTCCAAACCACACTTTTAAGGTCTTTCAATAAGTTTCTAGAAACTGCCGATAAACTTAATGAGATCTACAAGAAATCTAATGAGACCCTCGATGTTGTGATAAAGAAACAACTAGAAATTAAGCATACACTGACTGAAATAAAGAATATTATACAGACACCCAACAGCAGACCAGAGGAGCGCAAGAATCAAGTCAAAGATTCAAAATGTGAAGAAGCAAAAAACACCCAACTGGAAAAGCAAAATGAAAAAAGAATCCGAAAATACGAAGATAGTGTAAGGAGCCTCTGGGACAGCTTCAAGCGTACCAACATCAGAATTATAGGGGTGCCAGAAGATGAGAGAGAGCAAGATATTGAAAACCTATTTGAAGAAATAATGACAGAAAACTTCCCCCACCTGGTGAAAGAAATAGACTTACAGGTCCAGGAAGCGCAGAGAACCCCCAACAAAAGGAATCCAAAGAGGACCACACCAAGACACATCATAATTAAAATGCCAAGAGCAAAAGACAAAGAGAGAATCTTAAGAACAGCAAGAGAAAGAAACTCAGTTACCTACAAAGGAATACCCATACGACTGTCAGCTGATTTCTCAACAGAAACTTTGCAGGCCAGAAGGGAATGGCTAGAAATATTCAAAGTGATGAATACCAAGAACCTACAACCACGATTACTTTATCCAGCAAAGCTATCATTCAGAACTGAAGGTCAGATAAAGAGCTTCACAGATAAGGAAAAGCTAAAGGAGTTCATCACCACCAAACCAGTATTATATGAAATGCTGAAAGGTATCCTTTAAGAAGAGGAAGAAGAAGAAGAGGTAAAGATACAACTTATGAACAACAAACATGCATCTATCAACAAGTGAATCTAAGAATCAAGTGAATAAATAATCTGGTGATCATAATAGAATCAGGGACATAGAAAGGGAATGGACTGACAATTCTTGGGGGGGAAAGGGGTGTGGGAGATGCGGGAAGAGACTGGACAAAAATCGTGCATCTATGGATGAGGACAGTGGGTGGGGAGTGAGGGCAGAGGGTGGGGCGGGAACTGGGAGGAGGGGAGTTATGAGGGGGGGAAAGAGGAACAAATGTAATAATCTGAACAATAAAGATTTAATTAAAAAAAAAAAGAAATCATCGTTAGATGGACAGTTATGGAAGGTTGAAATCAGAAGGAAAAAGCAAGACCAGACAGAAGCACTGCCAAAAAGGGGAAAAGGATTTTTTTCTCCAACAAGACTCTGAACTATAAATTAGACCAAGTCCTTCTAGAAGGAAGTCGCTTCACATAACCATATCCCTCTGAAAACTGTTTCAGTCCAGTTCCTCTGAGTACTTCCCCCCTTCCCACATACACTCCCTGAGGAAATTTTAGCAGTCACTGGAGCATCTCACATAGAGAAAAACCTTTCAGTCTTTAATTGGCTGACATTGGCACTCATACCTTTTGGAGAATACGCCTCTCCCTACCTTTTTTGGAATTATGTTTCCTTAAAGATATTCTTTCTGTATTCTCTGACCTCTATCAGCTGCCATATGAACAACATAGCTTATGGGACATAACCAGCTTGTCTGTTCCAGCTTAGGGGTGGTGTCACATATTTCTCTGACAATAACCTCAGAGGAAAATCCATGTGCCAAAGGATATAAAAGGTTCCAAGCAGAACACTAAAAGCAAATAAGAAGAACAAGGGTAGAAAGTGGCCCCTAAATTAAAGTATGAAGCAAAACCCCAGAGCCCAAGTGAGTCATTGTTTAAGCTGGGCTGGGGAAGGGGAAAAAATATACTCCGTTGCCTTTGGGTTCTTTTGCCAAAGAAGTAAAGGCTGTAGAGCCTGGCGTAACCTAAAGATTGAAATTCCACCCAAGAATAGGCAATTATCCAGTAATCAACACTACCTAAGGCAGACTTCGGGTTCCAGAAAACTCCTAAATTCCCTGACAAGTAAAGCATGAGTGGGAAATGTGTTTGTTAATGTTACAGAGAAGCAGACATTAAAATGAAGATGGCAAGTAATAGAGGGACAATGGTAATTCCAAATGCCACTTTTCATTTGTTGACTAATGAGAGAAAAAAATTCTGAACCTCTGAATTGAACAGGAAAAAATTTCAGGAGCCATCTGTTCCATTTTTCCTTTCCCTGACCAAGTTCAGAGGGAAGTGTCTAACCTGTCTGTAACATATAGTATGTTATAGGATAAAATTAACCTCTTCCTGTGACTATTAACAGTGCTATATAAAAAAGCTAATTACACACTCTTCTTCCCTCTTAGAAAAGTAGCATAGAAATCTAATTCTAAGACACTGTGAGAAAGTATGAGGAAAATACCTGGCAAAGAATTAGGTTAGATGAGAGATGTTTGAAAAGCAATGAAAGTGTTAAACTAAGCATACAGTTTGTGGCAGTGCTATTTATTGTCTTGAGCAAAGGAAAATGAAAAAGAAAGCAAATGAGCTGTTACAGATAAATGGAGTAGGCCACATTTCTAGCAAATGAAGTCTAAAATGAGAACATTCTAGACTAAATTTATGAAGCTATCCAGCAAAGACTTAGTCCCAAAGTGTGCTTCATATCCCACAAGGGTAAAATGCTGGTGTCTAGATCATGATCTTGGTTGTAGAGGAACTAGTTATAGTGAAGTTATATCCTTAATGTAACTTTCAAGAATATATTTTTAAAAAAACTAGAGAGTAATATATGCATTAAAGAATCTGGCTGAGCCTCATTATACAGATAAGTACAAATTTATAAAAAATTATAACATAGGAATTTTATGAAACAAATTCATAGGGCAAGGGCTTATAATATTGAATATGAAAAGATTTACAATTTTATTTACACTACTGCCTTTAGGTAATCCATACTGATAAAATTCACATTTAACTAACAATAAAAATAATTAGAAACATTTGAATAGGGTGGCAACTGGCCAGTATGGGGATCATAATCACTTTACTTAAAGAATAGATGATCAATATGATCAGTGAAAATTCTTTTAGATAAGATGGCTCTAAGGAAAGAGCAGAAAATGCAATATTGCTCAAAACTTTTCTGGTTCTCTTCAATTTGAAGTATCTTTTTTCTGTCTCCATCTGCTAAAACTCTAATCTTTCCAGACCATCTGCCATATTTTACATGATTCCATCCCCATGCTCAATTCCCAGCATATCTCACTTTTAACTCTCTAATGGAACTCACAATTTGCTGCCTTGTTTTAAAGTTATTAGGCTTATTTCTCCTACTAGATTATAAGTTCTATGGAGTAAGCAATTAGGTTGTATTTAATAAGTATCTTGTGGGGAAATATTTTGAGGCTGTGGAAATATACAGTCAACTCTTCAAACTTTCATTTACTAGTTTCACTAGCTATTGATTCAGTATCTAATAACTCTTGCTAGAAGCAATAACAATTATGATGGGTTTGCCAAATAGCTATTTCCCCCTAGTTATATCATTTCATCTACATTTATAATTTGACTTTCTATGGTAAAGAAGAGCTTACCTTTCTCATCCATTCATTATTTATTTATTTACATTAGTCTGGATTCATGGATTCTTACTTTATTCAATAGGCTATAATCCTTTATTATCATTATTTATTTTGTTGCTCAAATTGTCTCATATTTGGCTGTGGGAGCTCCTTCAAGCTGACTTCTGTCCTTTTGACTTATCTACACAATTCTTTGGGTACTTGCTTTCTTTTTGGTAGAATAAGATGTTCCAGGCCCATCTTGTTCTTTCTCTAAACCATCTTGGAACCAGTCATTTATCCAAGAAGCCAAGTTGCTTTTAGTAAGAAACAGTGTTTAAAAACCAAGATCTAGGTAGGTGCTGGGTGTGCTTTTTGCTCCAAATGTGTCATTGCGTCTAGGCTCTCTCAGAAGACAGTTAAGAAGCAGGTGAAGGTCTATACACACACGTTCTACACAAATGTGCACATGTGCACAAACACACACATACTTATTTTCATTTCTATATGTCGAGCTATTTACATATATTAAAACCCATGAGTTCACACTGATTCAATTCCAATATATTGCTACAAGGTACCCTCTATTCTTTCCCTTTTATATATGAAACTTCCTCTTCTCACAGAGAAATCCAGCTCCCATTATTCATAATATATATTTACTTATTTGCTCAATCCTAAAATGTACAGCAGTTGCTAATCCATGCCTCTGTGTAAAAGCAACCTCTTAAGTATAGTTCAAC